CCTTGTGATAGCTTTTTGTTACAGCAGCCCCCACCCACCCAAAACACGATGCATTCATTGTAGTAGGGTTGTTTGGCTATCAAGCTACAAGTAGGCACGCAAAAGCATGCGAGGACCCTGAAGCTCTGTTTTAGGGCTTTACTTGGAGGTTAATCGGTCTTATAAGTAGGGTTATTCGTAGTGTAACTATGGTTATAACCTTTCTTAGGGTACTTATAACCCTACTTATACTACCCATGAACTTTCCAGTAGGGCTTAGGGTTTTGCCCAACCTTCAGGCCAAACCCTAAACCCCAAACCCCAAACCCTAAACCCTAAACCCTAAACCCTAAACCCTAAACCCTAAACCCTAAACCCTAAACCCTAAACCCTAAACCCTAAACCCTCAGCCCAACCTTCAGGCCATCTCTGGAGGTGGATCCTTGGCGGCACGAGGATTTAGAGTTCGCAACAGACTTTGGGGTGTGGAGCTTTGGGCCCCAAAACCCTGTCTGCATGAGTAGCTGTATAGATACATTATATATATATATATATATGTATGTGTGTGTAGATATATAAGTACATAATGTATAACATAGAATGTATACCATACCATCCATAATATAATCATATCGTATATCATATATACTTACATACACACATGCATGCATGCGCGTGCATGCATGCATGCATGCATACACACATACATACACAGTTTGTGTGTGATATATATCTATATGGTACCCCCCCCCCCCCAAAAAAAAAAAAAAAAAACACGGTTCCATATGCTCTTCGCTGCAGTCCGACAGATCGGCCTGCCAGTTTGGTCATGGTGCCAGTTTGGTCATGGTAGAATTTGTATAACTTCATTACATATTTTACCCAATTTCACTAATTTGTCTAGTGTAATTAGTTTCATTACTTTAATGAACTTCGTTGATTCCAAAAAGCTTAATTCACATAACTTGGTCCACTCAGCAGTTGCTCGAGCGAGTGCTCAAACGGAAGTGACCTGAACAATTTGCTTGAGATCGTGGATTGCTATCAATTTTAATAAGATTGCTGTTAGTTTTACTTGTGTTCCAATTAAATTTAATAGGTTTCATGGGGTTCGTATGAATTCAATAGGAATTTTATTTAAATCAATAGGAACCCCATTAGAATGAATGAGAACCCTATTGAAATTAATGCGAATCTTTTTTAAGACTTAGTAAGAATCCTAGGACCCTTCAAAACAATGAGAGTCGTTCTGTTAGATTAGTTTGGACCTTATTAAAACATTTAGTTAATAGGATTGCTATTAAAATGACGAAGACTTACAATAAAATCTCTTCGAGTCCAATTGAAATGAATAGGGAACAGGATTCCAAAAAAACAATAGGAGCACTGTTGAATCTAGTAGGAATCCTATGAAAATTATTAGGAATCCTTTCAAAATGAATGAGAAACCCTGATAAAATGAATACGAAGCCGATTCAAATATGTCAGAAGCCTATTTACATGAATAGGAAGCTGATTATAAGTAAAGCAAAAGGAATCCAATTAGAAATTGTACGACATCTTATTAAATTGAATAAGAAGCCGATGAAAACTCATAGGAATATGTTTAAAGTTTGTTACGAAGTTTTTTAAATGTTAGACTTTTATTACAATACTAGGAATAAGAAAGAATGCTATTGAAAGTACTAAGAACCGTCTTCAAACTACTTGGAACCTGATTAAAATGAATAGGAATCTATATTAAACCCAATAAAGTTTATAGGCACCCTTTAATTAGCATCCTTAAAATTTTAATACGAACCCCATTAAACAAATACAGGAGGTATATTATGTAAAAACAACTTGAACGCCAGTAAAATTATTCGGAATCGTATTATTTTAATAAGAACTCCCATACAAGTGAACAGGAGTGTTATGAAATTTAATAAGAGTCTCTAATTCGAATATGTAATACTAAACACTTGACTTGCGCGCGTATATATATGTGTTTCCGTTGTTGATACTTGTGCTTTTCATCTTTATGTTTTGGAACTGCCAGAATTCCAGAATCCCAGAATTCCAGAATTCCAGATTTTTTGGGACCCCCAGTTCCAGAATTCCAGAATTCCAGATTTTTTGGGGCCCCCAGTTCCAGAATTCCAGAATTCCAGATTTTTTGCAGACACCTAGTTCCAGAATTCCAGATTGTGGAATTCTGGAATTCTGGAACTGGGGGCCTCTCAGAAATCTGGAATTCTGGAATTCTGGAACTGGGGGTCTCAAAAAAATCTGGAATTCTGGAATTCTGGAATTAGGGGTCTGAAAAAAATCTGGAATTCTGGAATTGAGGGTCTCTGGGGAGAGGTTTTCATAGTGTACGGGAGGAAAACAGAGTAAAACGCGGGTTTTAAGGGGGGGCTAGCATATATATATATATATATATATATGTATGTATGTATGTATGTATATATAGATATATAATGCAAAATGTCTAGTAATAATCAATAGACATAGATAACTATATACACACATGTGTAGTACCGTGTGCTTTGCTATCTTCTTTGCTATTGCACTTGAGCCTGAATGTTAGGGTCGAGGGTTGACGGTTGCCAAGATCTGACGCTGTGTTCCTTCTTCCCGGCCCAACCCCGCAACGAACTGGAGCCTCGAAGCGTTCAGGGTTTGAGGCTCAATGAAACTAAACCCTAAACCCTAAGCCTAAGCCCTAAACCCTAAACCCCCCGCCCCCCCAAACCCTCCCGTTTGCTGGCCCTCTCGCCCCCCTTCTGTTGGGTCGGCAGGCGCCCTCGAACGTTCGGAAACGTTGGTTTAGGGTTTAGGGTTTGGGTTTAGGGTCGGGGTTTAGGGTTCAGGGTTCAGGGTTTAGGGTTTAGGGTTCAGGGCCTAGGGCTTAGGGCTTAGGGTTTAGGGTTCAGGGTTTGGGGTTTTTAGGGTTTATTGGGTTTAGGGTTCAGGTTTTAGGGTTTAGGGCTAGGGTTTAGGGGCGCTTGGAGCCGAAACCCTAAACCCTAAACCCTAAACCCTAAACCCTGAACCCTAAACCCTAAACCCTAAACGATGGACACTTGTGGCGCGTGGGCCTGTGCCACGTGTTTCAAGTGACCCAGCTGCCCAAAGTAGTTTCCCAAGTGTGCAAAGGAAGCCCAAGCCCCAAGCCCCAAGCCCCAAGCCCCAAGCCCCAAACCCCAAACCCTAAACCCTAAACCCTAAACCCTAAACCCTAAACCCTAAGCCCTAAGCCCTAAGCCCTAAGCCCTAAGCCCTAAGCCCTAAGCCTGCCTGACCCAAGTGACCCCAGTCCCAAGTTTCCCACATGTCCGTGAGCATGTTCGATGTGTGAATTTGGTCTCGGTTTGGCTTGGGTTGGCTCTGGTTTTGGCTCGCTGCCAGAAGTGTGCGGGGCGGGCACGTCTCCATCGTGCAGTGCGCTTGCCCGCTGGCGAGCACGCCCGGGGCGTTCGACCTTAAACCCCAAACCCTAAATCCTAAATCCCTAAGCCCTAAACCCTAACCCCTAAACCCCAAACCCCAAACCCTAAACCCCAAACCCCTTACCCCCTCGAGCACCCGCACCAAGGATCAGAGTGGACCCGCAGGGTGGCCACAGCCTCAGAGCGTCGGCTGTCATCGTCTCAAGCAAGTCAAACTCGGACCATAGGGATGTCAAGGGTTTAGGGTTTAGGGTTCAGAGGGTTCAGAGGGTTCAGAGGGTTCAGAGGGTTCAGAGGGTTCAGAGGGTTCAGAGGGTTCAGAGGGTTCAGAGGGTTCAGAGGGTTCAGAGGGTTCAGAGGGTTTAGTGCTTAGGGTAGTTGAGGGTTTTGGAGGACTTAGGAGGGATGTCTAGGAGTTATTGCAAGGGATGACATACATGGGCCTTAAAGGATGTACCCCCCTAAGAGATTTCCTTAATATCTAGGACCAGGATTTTTAGGGTTTGCGTTTCTTCCACTTTTCTTAGGGTTTAGGTTCCCTTGAAAACACCTTTACACCAACAAGGGCATCCTATTCTTCTTTCCTAGGCTTCTCTTGGGTCTAGATATACTCCTAATGTGGCCCCTGTATTCCCTTAGGGGACCTTTAAAACCGGTAGGGGTCCGAGGCAGAATCCCATGATCTTCGGGTTTAGGGATGTAAGGTATGGAGCTTGAGGGCTTTTCGGGCGTCGGGGTTTTTAGGGCGTTTAGTGTTTCGGGCTTTCCGGCTTTTCACGGTAGAGCTTTTTAGGGCTTCTAGTTTTTGAAGATGTTGACTAAGCCCTAAGCGCGCCCGCGCGCGCAGGCGTGTTTTCCCAGCCTTGGCACCTACAAAAGCGTTGCGAGCGCGCAAGAATTGTGCCACCTTGCATTTTTAGGGTTTTTGGGTTTTGGGTTAAGGGTTTAGGGTTTAGGGTCTAGGGTTTAGGGTGCGACTTGGTGGACGATATCCCATATCCTTCCCCGGTCTTTTGACTTGAGTAGCTCCCAAGGCACCTTCGGGTTTAGAGGCTGTTTAGGGTTTAGGGTCTAGGGTCTAGGGTCTAGGGTCTAGGGTTTAGGGTTTAGGGTTTAGGGTTTAGGGTTTAGGGTTTAGGGTTTAGGGTCCCCTAAACCCTGACATCCCAACCCCAAAGCTTCTACCTAGCCCTCAGCCGCGGAACTCTACGCCCCAAAACCCAAGCAAGAAACCCCTAACCCCGCCAAGCCCCCAAACCCTCAACCCCCAAACTGTAAGCCACAAAAACCCCAAGGCCTTCAACAAAACCGCCGACCCCAACCCCAAACCCGGAACCCTAAACCCTTACCCCCCCCCTCCCCAAAAAATTCAAATTATAAAAAGAATATATAATAATAATAAGAATAATGATAATAATAATAATATTAACAATATTAATAATAGTATTAATAATAATAATATGAAAGAATAGTAACAATAGTAATAATAATAATATGAAATAATAAGAATAGTAGTAGTAGTAGTAGTAGTAATAATAATAAAAGACCAAGGCCTTCCATTCCGACTTCGGCGAGATCTTGGCGCTGCAGATGCGCTCCACCCACGGCCCCCGCGGGAGCCGCACCAGGGCTTCCTTACGGTTTAGGGTTTAGGGTTTGGGGTTTAGGGTTTAGGGTTTGGGGTTTGGGGTTTCGGGTTTCGGGTTTCGGGTTTCGGGGTTCGGTTTTAGGTTTTAGGGTTCAGGGTCTAGGGTTTAGGGTTTTAGGGTCTAGTCTAGGGTTTGGGGGTTTAGGGTTTGAGGGTCAAAGCGCCAGGACTTCCTAACTCTTGGGCCTATGCGGCAGTTGAGGGCTTTTTTTATAGGGGTTCGGGGACAGTTTGGGGTTTGGGGTTTAAGGACTTAGGGTTTGGGCTTCTTTAGGGAGTTTAGGGCTTCGGGTTTGGGGTTTGGGGTTTGTTTAGCACAAAGAGGTCAACATGTATTCATGGGGTGCTGATTTTGACTGTATCTTAATTTCGGGCCGGGCATGGGATAGATGACGACTTCCTCGTGGACGAGTTCGGATAGACAACGAAGTTTATGCCCGTTCGCAGCTGTAAGCTGCTCAAGAAGGGCCCTTCTTTGACTTGTAGCAGCCTATTGTGTACAGTTTTCGCCCCCGTGGATAGTTTCCCTGTACGTGGTGGATCTGGATAGCCAACTCGCAGCCGGAAGGCCAGAGGAGCTAAAAGGATCGGGCGTGACGAGGGATAGATCCATTACCCTAACCTTTGGGATAGTTGCTTGTTCCCCTTACAACTCATAGCCGGAGGCCAGAGGATATTGGGAATAGGTGGCTGTTCAGGTGGATATCTTACTTGGTGTACAACGTGTGGCCGGACGGCTAGCGGATACATCCGGTGGATAGGCTACCAACCCCCTGGAGATAGCAACTCTAGGGATCCTTCCGATAGGCGTCGTCGGGAGTGGCATAGGAATACTTGGATAGCTTCCATTGTGTTCCCCGTTGGCAGGGATACTGCTGTTCTTGGTGCAACTTAACAACCTACAACTGTTTGTAGTCAACTTCTTTCTCCTCGTGTGGCCTGAGCTAGTTACTGGAGCGGGTTGCGCAAGTTTTCCTCGATTTGGACACTTCGCACAGGTTAAGAGCCTTGTGGCTCACGCTGAGACAGGGGTGGTGGGCAATGGCGACATAGACAGCGTGAGATTGAATGTTGGACGAGGACGAGGTGTGCCGGGGGCAGGCAGGAGGACACTCCAGATGATGGATTATGAACATACGCAAGCAATCGCTCCGGAATCAGTCGCTTGCCGAGGTACACCTGCATCACAAGAGTCAGCCGTTCTGAAGCGAAAGCAAGCCGAAGCACCTTCGGTACGGAGCTCTGGGGTTCAGACTGTGACGCAGGATGTCCGCCGACATGGTCAGACGTACCTGGTGCAACCTCTGCGTGATAACCTGTGGACATGGAAGGAAGCCGCGATGTCACTGACGGAAGCATCATCTCCATTCCTCGAGAGCTTTTACTACAACACGTATGGAGACGGATGGGACGGTAGCGCAAGACAGCACGGCGAGTTCTACATAGGATCCGATAGTGATAGTGAGGAACAAGAAGGCCTTTCGATGGAAAGATCTGAGGCCAGCGCTGGTGGCTAGGGCGGCGGGAGCTGATGATGCACTGCAAGTGATTTCGCAGGCCTCGCCCTGCGGTCTGCGAAACGGGGGGTGTTTTGCAGCGCCTCTTTGTTTCAAGCACCAGTCAGCAGCAATCTCTCAACTTGCACTTTCGGGCTGCCGTATGCTCAAGGCATCCCGGCGGTCAGAGTGTAGGCTTCCCATGCACAGAGATCGCGCAGATGGCCCAAGCCATGCAGGTTACGGAGAGCTCATGGAACCGTGAGTTGAGAAAAGTCCGGCGGTTGCGACAAGCTCATGCCCGACAGCAGGACAAGATGTTGATATGCAGCCTCAAAGAGCGGGTTTTACACCTCGAACTTGAACTTCAACAGGGTTTAGGGTTTGGGGTGTTCCGGCATTTGGCGTTTGAGGAGTTCGGAATTCGGGTTTCGCACAGGCCGTGGTACGGAGGCTCCTTCCAGGGCGCCTTGCAAAGTCGCTTCTTCTTCACTCACAGACTCACGGCGCACTTGCGTAAGGAGGTGGACACCGAGGAGCTTGGGTTTGGGGTTTAGGCTTTAGGGTTTAGGGTGTATAGGGTTTAGGGTTTAGGGGGTCAAAGTTTTTTTGTTTTCATTTTCAGGCCCTGGACCAAGGAGGTGGACGCCTAGCAGCGCCAGTGCCAGTATGACGCGGAAATTGCAGGTTTGGGGCTTCTAGGGTTTAGGGTTTACGGTTTGGTTGGTTGTGGTCTTTCCTCACACTGTCGGATGGTCATGGCTACCCCAGGGAAGTTCACCAAACGCCCCTAAGCACATCACGAGGTCAAAGGCTCGGAAGCTCTTCAAGCTAACCCTAAACCCTAAACCCTAAACCCTAAACCCTAAACCCGAAACCCCAAGCTCTTCAAGCGTGCTGGGGCTGGGGCGTGGGTGCCGCGCAGTCGCTTGCACCTGGATTGCGCCAAGAGCTGGCCGACAGATGAAGAAGCTGAGCGTTCACAGCTCAATGCCAACCCCTTGCGAAGTTCCTCCACCTTATGAACAACTGCCCTTATTGGGGAGTATAGTAGGGGGCTACTAAAATCCTTATGAAGGGTGAGTATAAGGGGGAACATCCCAAACCAACCACAACGTTAAAGGCAAGCTGAACATGGGCTCAAGAAGTACTCCCGAAGCTACGACTTGCTTAAGAAGCCCCAGAACTAAGATAAACATTTAAAAACTGGAGTCTTTCATTTTTTTGGGGGGTTCTGAAGCAACCAGTCGTGGGGTTGAGGGTCTAGGGTTTTGTGTGGTTGTTTCAGCGTGTCAAGGGTTTTGGGCTTCAGGCGTCTATTTAGGGTTTAGGTTAGGATCTAGGGCAGGGGTTGAGCGGTTGTTTCTTGTTTGGGGGCTTATGGCTTAGAGAGTCAGGGAGTTCAGGGTTTTAGGCTCCACGGGAATGGGGGACTTATTCTTTGGGGTTTCAAGATTTAGGGTTTAAGATTTAGGGTTTCATACTTGTTTTGGGGATTAAGACTTTCGGGGTTTGGGCTTCAGACGTGGGTGATAGAGTCTAGTCCTTCCCCACCCCCTCCCCCTTCCCCATGCCCCGCACCCCTGCCAACACCACCCTGAAGACAGGGTGATCTAGGGTTTAGGGTTTAGGGTTTAGGGTTTAGGGTTTAGGGTTTAGGGTCTTAGGGTCGGGGGGTTCAAGGCTTAGCCTGTACGGGTACTTGTTCATTTTAGGGTTTAGGGTGCAGTGGGTTTAGATAACACAGGGTTTTGCCCAGTGCAGCTTCGCTTCCACACGAACCGTAGGACGCTCTTTGGCGACTGGGTGATGAAGACGGCTGGATGCCCAGCGGACGTGCTATTGTAGAGAAAGAGTCGGCTTCTCTGGCTTTTTAAGGGGTGTTGAGGCTTAGCCCCCTAAGGGTCCATGTACCTAATTATTATGTACTTGGGCCTGCAAGTACCTCCTATACAGGGACTTTAGGGCCCAAGTATATAATTATGAGGTACACTCAGAGACTCCAAAACCCCTTAATTAAGGAATATTCCTTAAATTATAATAGGAACCCTAATATGATTTAAGGTATATTCCTTAATTAAGGGGTTTTGGAGTCTCTGGGCACGGACCTTTAGGGTCCGCGGCTCTACAGGTTGAGCCTGAATTTGGGTTGAGCGCTTCTGAGTTTTCGGGCTTAGGGGTTTTGCCCCCCGAGCACCAGGTAGCTTAGTAAGGGTCCTATACGCCGAATTATGGGAGGATCCAGAAAGCAGAACCCCCAAACCCTCAACCCGAAACCCTAAACCCTAACCCCTACACGCTAAACCCTAAACCCTAAACCCTAAACCCTAAACCCTAAACCCTAAACCCTAAACCCTAAACCCTAAACCCTAAACCCTAAACCCTAAACCCTAAACCCTAAACCCTACACTACCATTGGGTCATGTTCAGGAACCCCCTTAAGGGGCTCTACTTTTTGGATCCTCTCCCCGGGGTTTGGTTAGGTTGGGTTGTAGGTGCCGGAACTTAGGCCCGGAAGTTCTTGACCCACCGAAAGCCCACAACCCTGCTTGGAGGTTCATGAGTAGCTATAGGTGCTATGTACGGCAACTATACTTCTAAGCCTCTTTAGTATGCTTCTCGCCCTACTGATAGCTACCCATGAGGTTTAGGGTTTAGGGTTTAGGGTTTAGGGTTTAGGGTTTAGGGTGAACCCGAAACCCAGAGAGGGAGTTTCCTTTATCCAGCCTGGCAGAAGGCCCATCATGGGACTCTGCCTTGGACGGTTTAGGGTTTAGGGTTCAGGGTTTAGGGATTAGGGTTTAGGGTTTAGGGTTTAGGGTTTAGGGTTTAGGGGGACCATGAGGGTATTACCCTTGGGTTTGGGGGCCCATCCTCTTTAAGGGAATATACGGGCCATAGTAGGAGTATATGGAGGGGAGCCTTTAGCGGTACAAACTTAGGGGTACGAGTCTTCAGCCTTCACCCCTTGAGCCCTAAACCCTAAACCCCAAACCCTAAACCCTAAACCCTAAACTGTGGCTCGAGCCTAAGGTTCGAGTTCAGAGATTTTGTTTCAGAGGTTTTTGGCTCGGAGACCCTAAAGAACCTGTGGCTCGCTTCAGGGACGGTTCCATGGCCCCGTTTAGGCAACCCATAATTCCTAGACGGGACTGACTTAGGGTTTAGGGTTTAGGGTTTAGGGTTTAGGGTTTTAGGGTTTTAGGGTTTTAGGGTTTTAGGGTTTTAGGGTTTTAGGGTTTTAGGGTTTTAGGGTTTTAGGGTTTTGGGTTTTGGGGTTTTAGGGTTTTAGGGTTTTAGGGTTTTAGGGTTTTAGGGTTTTAGGGTTTTGGGGTTTTAGGGTTTTAGGGTTTTAGGGTTTTAGGGTTTCGGTTTGCTTGGGTTTTTTGGGGTAACCCGAAAAGCCCAAGAACCAAAACCCAAACATCGAACAGCCCCCCACCAAGACTGATTCTGCTGGTTGATCTACATTCATGGGGCCAGAAAATGTATAGGAAGATACATAGTCGAGACCCCATCCTCCCTCCCAAACCCTAACCCCTAAACCCTAAATTAGGGACCTTCAAAGGACCCAAAAAACTCAGATCCCACTTCCTTCCCTTGCTACCTGTGCCCACTTGCCAGGAGAAGACCATGCAGCTAAGCTTGGGCCACCAGGTACGAGAGGCAACCGGCTTCTTTACCCAGGGCCCGGGGCTTTGGGTTTAGGGTTCGGCAGTTTGGGGGTGCAGGGCTTGGGGGCTTGAGATTTTATGTACGTTTAGGGTTTAGGGTTTAGGGTTTAGGGTTTAGGGTTCAGGGTTCAGGGTTCAGGGGGAGGGGTTAGGATCTGGTGTTCTGGCAGATCGGGATGTATGCGTACAGAAGTGTGGCTTTGTGAGGGGCACGGTGTTAGGGTTCACGTCTTTGTGGCTTCCGCGCATTTGGATGCATCTAAACCCTAATTCCTTGACCCAAAATCTGCAACCTAATCCCTAAACCCTAAACCCTAAACCCTAAACCCTAAACCCTAAACCCTAAACCCTAAACCCTAATACCAACCATGTGCGTCAGGCCATCCGCGAGGTGGGTGCTGCCTCCGCTGCCGAGGTCGTTGAGGCCTACCTGGCGCATGGCGAAGGCGGGGCTTGAAGCATTTGCTCTTCTCTTGCACTGAGTTTAGGGTTTCGGGTTTCGGGTTTAGGGTTTAGGGTTTAGGGTTTAGTGTGTCGGGTTTCGGGTTTAGGGTTTAGGGCCAGTTTAGGGTTTAGCGTTTAGGGCTAAACCTACATCCTAAACTTATGTCACTGTGCAACACCATTTAACCCATCTCCCCCCGCCTAGTTTGCGATTGGATTGTGGGAGTCAGGGTTGTTGCACTTCGGATCTGCGGATTCGGGGTTATCTGAGACCTCCCAGGCCCAAAGACCTTTCTTGTTGTGCCGAGTCGCCGAGTCCCCTAAGCCCGAAAAGCAGCCTTTACCCCCTGTTTCGCACCACGTCTTTCAGGTGTATTCGGGGGTGCAGATATTTTGATGTCAGTTGATTTCGGGTTTGCCTCGGGATAGATGTTATCTTCCTCGTGAACGAGCCGGAATAGTGCGCAGAACTGTGGGATAGACGAAGGGGCCTGGATGAAGTTTCGTGTGCTGTTGCTGTCTGGGCTTACAGGGCAACATGACAGCAACTCAAGCACACTGTATATTCGTTCACCTTTGTTTCTTTCTTCCTTTTGATAACGTTCACCGTGTAGCTGCGCCCCGCCTGTACAGTTTCATTTTGCCCCCCGTGGATAGTATTCCTGCACGTTGTGGATCTGGATAGCCAACTCGCAGCCGGACGGCTAGAGGAGCTAAAAGGATCGAGCGTGGCGAGGGATAGATCCGTTACCCTAACTTTGGGAGCGTTCACTTAGACCCTTTGCAACTCGCAGCCGGAGGCTAGAGGACACTGGGGATAGGCGAGCGTTCAGGTGAATACTGGGATAGGTGTACAACACGCAGCCGGACGGCTAGTGGATACATCTTGAGCGGTAGGTCATCACCCCCTGGAGATAGCAACTCTGGGGATCCTTCCGATAGTCGACGTCGGGAGCGGCTTAGGAACACTTGGCTAGCTACCTTGTGTTCCCCGTTGGCAGGGATACTGCTACTTCTGGAGCAACTTAACACCTCACAACTGTAAATAGCCAACTTACTTGTCTACTTGGGTCTGATCAACCGGAATAGTGGACACAGTTTTCCAGTTCTTCGACGCGCAAGTTTTCCTTGGTTTGGACACTTCGCACAGGTTAAGAGCCTTGTAGTTTCTGGACCGACTGAGCCGAAGGCGAGGCGGCGATAGTTCAACGTCATGACGGACTTGAGGAACGACGAGCGGGCACGAGAGGAATATGTGGATTTGGATCGGGATAGCTATGTGGGGAGTGGACGCACCCCCGCAGGAATAGGGAACGGATTGTACGGTGAGCGCGCTGGAGAAGGAGATGGACTTGGGAAGAATACGAGCGGGGACGACGAATCGTTCGACTTGTCAGGCATTGGGAATAGTCAGGACCGAGGAGGGTCACGGGATCTGAGCCTTTCAAGTGGAACGACTCTTAGGGTGGACGATGGGATATCAGGGTCTTCGAATGTTTTTGGCAGGGTTCTCGAGGAAGATATGTTTGCTGGAGACGGCTTCCTGGAGGAATCGCATCGTGGACGGAATGGCTTGGGATATGCTCGGAGATCGGATGTTGTTGGGATAGCCGTGGAGACGAGCGCGGTAAGTTCAACGCCGACGCTGGAGGATGTCGGAACACGTAGGGACGATGGAATTGATAGATGGGATCCTTTTCGTCCTGACAGAGACGACGGACACCGTGATACCCTTGGGATACGGAGCGTCATGGGTGGTGACATTCAGGTTCCTGCGATTAGATGGCATGGCGGTGACAATATTGGGATAGATGGGCGTGGGGATACTGTCGGGGAGTTGCAGGATCATGCCGGCAGCTTGACGGTCTCATCCACCTCGGAAGGTGTCGAGTGTCAACAGGCGAGAGATAAGCTTCCTCCACATGCGATTGTCAAGGGAGACAAGAACGAGCGGAATGATGGCGTGACATACCATGTTGCTACCGACCAGAGTGGTGGACGGAATACGGGAGGCACTGACATGTATCACTGTAATGCTATGGGTGCCGATCGACGGATAGAGGATCCTCAAGGTCTTGATGGAACTGATGCGCGAGTTAATGGGGATAGTTGCGCCGATCGACGGACAGAGGATCCTCAAGGTCTTGATGGACATGACGCACGAGTTCATGGGGATATTCGTGGAAATGATGCGGCGGCGGAGCTGGGAAATGTACGAAGTGAACGCGTTGAAAGGATTATGAGGGTGGGGATAGACTCGGAACAACATGGCCCAAAAATCACTGGAGAGCCCAGAGAGGTCTCGGGACGACCTGGCCCAAAAATCCCTGGAGAGTTTAGAGAGGTCTCGGGACGACCTGGCCCAAAAATCCCTGCAGAGTCCAGAGAAAATGGGATGGGATCATATTGGCACTGAGGGTGATCCGTTGGAAGCATTCGTGGAGGGATATAGTCATGGTGGAGGATGCAACGTGATAGCTATGCGCAAGACGAGTGGGAATGTGCCGCGAAGTGGGAGGGCAGGGGTTCTAGGGGATGTTAGACAAGGGTCTTTGGGTATGCCTAGGTCACCCAGGGTCGACGCTGAGATGAGAGCCCGGACGATGGCATATGTGATAAGCACCCCTCCCCCACGACCCCCGAACGGGACATCAGATGATGCCAACGCAAGGGGAAATGGAATATCGGAATATGAGGGATGTGAGGGCAGAGTCGATGCAATAGAGGGAGTGACTATTGACATCAGGAATGCGGCCACAGAGATGAATGATGAGATTCGGGACGGGCTCAGGAGGATCAACGATAGACTGGATGAGGTCGAAGATAAGTCCATTACACAACGCGCCGAGATGATTGATGTGGAGCGCAACGTTCAACGACGATTGGATGATAGCATTCGGGATCTACGGAGCTGGATTAGGGAGGAGTTGGCAAAGGCTGTGGAGTCATTGGGCCGAGAGCGCGGTGAGGCAAGCAAAGGCGTCAATCATGTTGAGCGGGACGAATTTACAGGGATAGCGAAAAGCGTTGAATTGATGAGTTTTCGAGTGAGGTATGTCGTGGACGAGCTCAAGCGAATGAAAGGGACGATGGATTTATCAATGTCGAGGAACATCGCGGAGCCTCTGCAACAGATTCGTGAGAGTATCAATGTGATGACGGGTGATGTAGGCACCGTGAAGGGGAGAGTTGATGCCATGGAAAAGCTGACTGAGAAGATAGGCAAGGAACATGCGGAAATCATGGACGAGAACAAGCAGCTGAGGGATAGGTTACGCGTGGTAGAATGCAATATCGCGAGGAGCGCTGATATAGACCTGACAACACTTGCGCTGACGATGGGGCGCGGAGCGCATGTGTCAGGATCGCTGGGAGGATAGATGGAATAGAGGCAAATGTCGCGGAGATGGCCAAGATGCTTCGGCGTGTGCGGGATCAGCAGACGAGGGACGCAAAAACATTCGTTGCATCCGTGAGGATTAAAGAGTTGGAGGTCATGGTTCAGGAGATGCGTGACTCGATAGCAAAGATACAAAACGAGAATGCGGTGGACAAGGGCGAATGGATGGAGTATAAAACCCAAACGCAGAGAAGAATCGAGCAGCTCGAGAACGAGAACGCGCGGCTCAGGACCATGCAGGAGACGCAGGAGGGTCTCATCACGGAGCTCACTCAACGGATAGATGCGGCAGCAAAAAGGAACAGCATCGAGGCGGAGATGAGCGCAATGCGGTATAGAGTAGCTGAAGTGGAAAAGAGGTGCGAAGAGCAGCATAGAATGCGTCAGACACTACAGTGTGGAGACGGTCATGGTGGCGTTGATCCTGAGTTGAAACGACGGGAATATCTGGGAATAGTATACAAGTGCTTTGATATGATCCTTCCTGAGGAGCCCAATCCAGCGAATCTACACACGTGGCTTGGGGAAGTGGCCCGGGCGGCGAAAAGCGCGTACATTTACGACGGGGAGTACGGATACTCCACGATTCTGCGTGTTAGGGATATGAGTGAAAGCGAATTGGATAGACCATTGAAGTATGCGGCTTTGGAAAACAAGCTATGGGAAGGGCTGCGGAATATGATCAAATCGACGAGTCTAAAGTGCAGGGGGAGATGTTCAAGCGAACGGCTGGGCGAGAGACAATGTCGGCTATGAGGCTGCTAAGCATGGTGGTTAGATTTTACAGCATGTCTCCCAATAGGGAGCAGGAGGTGTTGAACGAGGCCTTGTCGAGTACTGCATGCGAGATGTGCCCAGGTCAATGCGAAGTGAGTATGTTGGACGTTTTCATGGACAAATGGGATATCGTGCGCGTGCGGGTTGAAGCGACAGGGCGGAGCACATGGTCCGATGAGCAACTGGGGGATATTCTGTATAGTAAGGTGCGGCGCCTTTCCTTCTTGAATCATGACATCGAGGCCTGGAGGAAGAGACCGGCAGAAGGTAAAACCCACTCATGGTTCTATGGTAGGATTAAGCAAAGGATAGAGGAATGGAGGGCGGAGCAGAATCGCCAGTACATGGAAGATTGGGCGCGGCATCTCTCTGATAGGGGCGGGCCGCAACCCTGAGCTATCCGGGAGTATGCCGTATCCGCTCGGAATATAGACTATACAGACGTCAGAGAACGCTGCGCCACGAACAGGGATAGGGAACGTCTTCATCCTAATCCAGAGGGTGATCTCATTGCAGCGCTTGCCCCGCCCAGCAATCGGCAAACAATTGATTCCACTGAGGACTTCGTCACGCAGCTCGCCCAACTCGAACGGGGGGTGTCTTGGGATAGGGATTCGAGCAGGGCTTCGCTGAGGAGTACGTCCAATGTTGCGGGGGGGTATCCCAAAACTCGGGATAGGGGTTTGAGCGGGATTTCGAGGAGGATTATATCCCATGCTGCGGATGAGTGTTGCAAAACTCCGAACCACAAGAGGAATTATGACCAACATCTACGACAACTATCAGATCCCAGTCTCTGGAGACCAGTGAACAACGAGAGAGAAA